TCTGTCTCCAAAAGAAAAAAAAAAGGAGGGGGGGGGGCAACTGGTATCACTTTTGCTCAAAAAGATCCCTACCCATCCACTTAAGAAAAAAAAAGTTCCCTAGATTCTGTAAAGAAAACAGAGGCCAAGATTTGGAAGCATTTTTCCTTAATTGTACTCTCTAACATTAAAAAGTCAATTTCATGAGAGCCACAAACAAGAATAGGTACAAATTTCGTCAATAATTAAAGAGACATTTGAAGTGTCTATAAAACGGATCAAAAAGTTGATACAGGAGGATGTATGGTGAAAAGTATCTGGCATGCTGATGCCAAAAAAGTTAATTTAATGGATAAAAATTACACTCAAATTCCACTACCAATTAAGCAGCAATTTCAGATTATTAAGTCATATACAACTTCACATCTTCAACCTACTTTACATCAATTTCCCCTCCCCCAGGACCACCACCACTGGTAAGAAGCTGTATCTTTTTTTTAATGACCTCAAAATAGCTAATGTAATGTTCTAAAACAATATCAACTTACACTTATTTAGCATTTTGTTGTTTTTCACAGCCATTATATTCACTGGGTCTCACAAGCAACCAGGGAGATAAGATAAAGATTATGCATCCCCATTTTACAGATAAAATGAAGACCAGGTAGGTTAAGTGACTAGCTCAAGGTCACACACATACTAACTAGCTGTGTGTTAATTTCCTAGCCAGCAATGAGTCTTCTTTGCTGAGATGACAACCTTAAAATAGGATCATAAAACCTTATCTAGATTACATAAATACAGTAATCTTAAAAGTCAGAATGGAAAAGTAAACATATATTACTCCAAATTAACTTCACCAGGTGAAAGTACTGATTTTACCATAGCATACCTAATATCCCGTTCATTTTTAAAATACTAAACTATTTTAGTTTAGCACCTTCTGGAATTCTAAATGCCAAAATTGTCCTCCCACTTTTAGAAAGTAAATGAAAAAACTAAAACAAAAGCCTGTTCATAGACACAAATTAAGTAGTAAATGTCAGCTGAGCAGACTTAAAAACCATTCACACTCCTGAAAAACAGGGAACGAATGGAAACGATAATCTTAATTACAGTTCTCCAATTCTTATGGATATTGCCACATTCATAGAAAGACAGACATGTACAAAGCCCACGAACTCCAACCATTTAATGTGCTCTCTTAAGCTTAAAATAAATAAGAACTACCCCCAATCTCACGATAGAAGGCCCCTCCAGTTCAGTATTTCTGGGGCTGAAGGAAAGATTAGAAATTGTGTTTACTTTAGAACTTACATTTAATATTGATCTCTTTGCATGCTGTAAATACAAAAATATGCCTCAATAAAACCCTCTAAAATTTATTGTCTCTAAAACTCTGAAAATTCCTCTCCTCAACTCTGCTTCCCTCCCCCAGGGGTGTAAATGCGACACACACAGGCCTCATATACAGGCCTCTTGCCTTTTTTTCTAACACAACTAGGACCTTTGTTCTGAGCGTCGGTTTTTTACCCCACTCAATAGCTCTTTCAACTTTCTACCCCGTATTTTTTGTTTTGTTTTTATAGAAGAGCTTCTGAGCCTCAACTTGCCAGGTCTTTAAAAAACGAAATGCCAAAAATATCTAATGAGACTCTCGAGAGGAATAGAAAGTTAAACACACCACTAAAGGGCCTACAAAACGGAGTAAAGCCTGGAGATCGGGTGATTTGGCAGCCCAGGCAAGATCGGGGAACGCGACCAGAAAAGGAAGACAGCAGGAGAGCAGTTAGACGACCACTCAGAACAGACTCACTGCGCGCTATTAACCGTACCCCCCTACACACAAACGTTTACACAGACACATTCCCTCCCCCAATTAACTAACGAAGCAATTAAACTATACCCACCACCAGACACGACGCTTAGGCTAAATCTCTCCCAAAGAGAAACGACATTATCAAAAACAAATTTGTCTTAAGGGCTTGGAAGCAGCCCCTTCCATTCTCTCCTCACCACACAGGGTAACCAATTCTCTCTCGTCCCCAGTCAGTAGTTCAAATGAGTTAAGTTATTTTCCCCCCGATTCGCATGTGTTTTTAAATTTTTATCAATTTTTCCCTCTAGTAAATTAAGGAATTCTCTTTTTCTGAGGAAGGGAGAGACACAGAGGACAGGATTTGAGATTTTACAGCCTTCGTTATTTGAACTCCCCTCTAACTTACTTCTGTACTAGAACCCCACTCATTATGAAGAAGGAAGGAGACGGGTTGAACTGATGGGCAAACGTTATAATAGGTTTTATGTAATCCACATATAAATAAATTAATCGCCTGACTCGCTGTGAATACTAATACGATTGGGGTGACAATTGGCCCACCTCCCTCCCCCGAGTCCTGGTTAACCCCACCACCACCACCACCACCACTTTCCATTCTGATGTATTTAAAAGGATGGTCGGTTCCTCTCAGCCTAGTTTCTCGGCCTCTTTCATGCCCCCCTGCATGCCCCTCTCGTCGGGAGCCTCAACTTCCCACGGGTAAAAAAAACTGCCCCGCGCAGACCCCGTCTCCGGGCTCGCCCGCCCTCAACCGTCCCCCTGGACAGGAAACCCCTTACTGCGGTCTAAAGTCACTCCGGCCTCTCCCTCCTCTGACCCTCGCTTCCCACAACTGTTGTCACTCGAGGTGCTCCCTAGTTTCCATTTCCGGGCCGTCCCCGGCCCCGGAGCCTCCCCTTTCCCGGTTTCCGGGCCCCCCGTCCCATTTCCGGGGAACCCTTGCCGTCTCCACACCCCCCACCTGTACTTCCGGCCCCCCACTTTCTCTCTTCCTAGACGCCCTCCAAGCTCCAAAGCCCACTTCCGGCCCCCCACGCCCCCGCCGGGCTCCCCAACACCCGCACGCCTTACCCCGGTTCCGTTAAGGGCCCTCCTCATGGCGGAGGGCCGGAGGGGGGACCCAGCGACCCCCCCCGCTCCTGCCCGGCCCCGGTCCCTCCGGCCGCGGTCTCCCTCGAGCGCCTCGCCCGTCAACCCCTGGCTCGGTCCTTCCGTAGCCTCGCCGCCGCCGCCGCCGGGAGCAGGCCCAGCGGGGGCCGAATCGCGGCGATGACACAACTGGGCTTCCTGGGACTTTCTGTTCCAGCTCCTCCCCCCGCCCCCCAACCCC